TGAGTTCCCAACACTGGACTCTGGTCTTAAGGATGTGGAGCTGCAATCCTATACCAGAGGCCCAGGCAAGGGAGCCACCGTCCTGTCATAGGAGCATTCTCGAGAGTCCCATGCTCACAGTGCTCCCCAGCATATCATGGGGAGACCCAGACAGACCCAACCTCCCCTTTGAGAGCATAGGCTTTGGTTTGAAACACCATCTCATTTCCCTCTGTTTGCTTTTGGATTTAAAACATGAAAATCCACAGGAGGCTTGTGAGTCCCCACTGAGACCAATTGGTGACATTTTCAAACACTGATGAGCTGTTTGTCAGCTGCATGTTTTGGAGCCGAGAATGGGGAAAGGGTTTGGAGAGATGCTGGCAGCCCCCAGCAGACCTTCTGCTTGTCTGCAGATGGAGGCAGTTATCTCAGGCAGGGCCTGTCAGGGAACCCCATCCCTGCTTATGTTTCTGGAGCCGTGTATGTCCAGCAGCACCCATTTCCTATGCACATGGACCCCAATGAGTTGTGTGTTGGGGTGAGAGGTGTTGACTTCATGTCTGGCCCCTGGCTGACCCTGTCCATGAGCAGATTGTGAGCTGCAGGAACATGGCCTGGAAGGGGTCTCCACTGGGTACATGGCCCAACATCTCACCTGTGCTCTGTTTTGGTCACTGAGCTGCTTTGTAAAGGCAAGAAATAAGCAGAGAGGAATCAGAAGAGGAGGAAGGAAGAAAATAGGGACAAAGGAGGGAAGAATAGGGGCAGTTGAGATAGCCATTTCCATGCGAAGCCAGAGGGACCTGGGGAGGTGGCTGAATCAGGTTGTAACTAAGGCTCTTTGGGAAGGATGAATGGTCTTCATTATGCTAGAGTCCAGTGTATCTTTTAAAAATAATGAGAAGAAACAGCAGACTAAGGGATATTAGCACATGGGAAGGATGAATGGTCTTCATTATGCTAGAGTCCAGTGTATCTTTCAAAAATAATGAGAAGAAACAGCAGACTAAGGGATATTAGCATACTGTAAGGAAGATCTTTTTAACAGAACATCACAGGCTCCTTATAAGAGAGTGAGGTCTCCATTGTGGGGAGCATTCAAGCAAGGCAGACAGACAGTGGTCTCCATCTCCTGGTGTTCATGACTTTGTGTAATCCCCTCACCTTGAATGTGGGGACCTGGGATGTGGGACCTGTTTCTAACCTATAGAATATAGCAAAGGGACCTGATGTCACTCTCATGATTACATTGTTATATAAGACACTCTCAGTTGACAGGAGCTAGATTCACCTGGAATACTTGATGAAGCAAGCAGCCCACAGGATGAAATTGGAGAAGCCCACCTAGTTAGGAATTGCAGATTGCCTCCAGGACCTGGGGGTGGCCTCTTGACAACAGCTAACAAAAAGCCAAGCCCTCACTTTAGGCAGCTGCAAGGAAATGAATTCTGCCAACAACCCGAATTTGTCTGGAAACAGATTTTTCCCCAGTCAAGCCCCCACATGAGAACACAGCCTAGCCAACACCTGATTGCAGCCTCATGAGATGCCAAGCAGAGGACCCAGCTTAGCAAGGCCTGGACGGACACAGAAACTGTGAAATAATACATGTGTGTTGTTTTAAGCCCCTAAGTTTGTAACAACTCATTATGCAGCAACAGAAATTGTATACTGACACTGTAGGTGGGTCTTTATGCTGCTCTGTCTCTATCCTCCAGCCGAGTGTTTCCAGTTATCTAATGCTGCAGACCAAATCACCTCCAACCTAGTGGTTCAAGACAGCAGAAACCACTTGTCACATCTCACAGTTTCTGTTGGTGGGCATTTGAGGGTGGCTGGACTGGGTTCCTCATGCAGCTGTAGTCACATGCCCACTGGGCGGCAGGCATCCCAGGGCTTGCTGGGGGCTGGGGCATCACATAGCAGTCAAGTTGACTCTGGCTGTTGCTGGGGGGCCCCCGATCCCCTGCATGTGGACTTCTCCACTGGGATGTTTGCATGTCCTCATGACATGGCACCTGGCTTCCCTCGGGGCGAATGACCCAAGACACCAAAGTGGAAGCTGCATGACTCTTACGACCCAGCCTTGGAAGTCATGCACTGCCACTTCCACTGTATTTCGTCGGTCACACACAGGACCAGCCAGCAGTCAGTGTGAATACCAGGAGGCAGGGGTCTTAGGGGACCATCTTGCAGGCTGGCTGCCACATGGACCTTCACCTCCTCGGGCATTCTGCCACCTTTCTCAACTCCAGGCCTTTGCAAAGACCATTTATTCCCTCCGCTAGGCCTGGTCTCTTCCTCTGCCATCCCCTCATGGATTTCAGACCCCTCTGGGGTCTCCGCAGGGGCTCTAGCTCTGCTGCAGGGCCCGAAGCTTATATAAGTTAGGGGGTCCTCTTTAAGATAACAACAATATCTTGCTTTTGCAAATTTTTCAATCACTCAGCCAGTGCTAATGCCCTTCCTGGGGTCCAAGAACGTACCTATGCAAACGAACGGTCTCAAATGTAAGGTTCTCCGGCATCACAGTAGACCCTTGTCGGGGTCTTCACATGGATATCACTTCCCCAGGGAGCTGTCCTTGGTCCCGTAGACTGACCAGGTTCCACTGCTTGGGTCTCCCTATGGGTCATACTTTTTTTTCCCCTGGATTTCACCAACTTTTTTTTTTAAATCAACATATAATGTATTATTTGTTTCAGGGGTACAGCTCTGTGATTCACCAGTCTTACACAATTCACAGTGCTCACCATAGCCCATACCCTCCCCAGTGTCCATCGCCCCAGCCACCCCATCCCTCCCACCCCCCTCCACTCCAGCAACACTCAGTTTGTTTCCTGAGATTAAGAGTCTCTTTTGGTTTGTCTCCCTCTCTGGTTTCGTCTTGTTTCATTTTCCCCTCCCTTTCCCTATGATCCTCTGTCTTGTTTCTCAGATTCCTCATATCATTGAGATCATATGATACTTGTCTTTCTCTGATTGACTTATTTCATTTAGCATAATTGGGTCACACTTTTGATTAGACATTTAACACACCTTTGGGCCACAAGGGACCGTGTCTTATTCAAAATCTTTCTGTGCTTACTCTCAGACACTATTCTAAATACAACTGACACAGTAGTGGCCTAGACTCAGACCTCCTGGAACCAACATTGTCATGGGGGGGGGGCATGGGTGGAGAGATGCACTAACCAGATAAACAACAAAAATTTTTCCAAAGATAATTTCAGTTAGTGATGGGTGCCATGAGAAAAGTAAATCTGGGCAGTGGGAGATCAAGGAAGGCCTCTCCAAGAAGCTGCTATTTGAGCCAAGACCTGAATAATGAGAAGGAGACGACCCTGGAAAGATCTGTGGAAATAAGTTTTCCTGGTAGGGGGAACAGTAGGTGCAAAGGCCCTGAGGCAAGACAGTGTTCAGGACTGAGCAAAGAGGCCAGTGCAGCTGACTGTAGGGATAAGGGAAAGCAAGAGGCCATAAGGATGGAGAGGCAGGTTAAGGATAGATCGGGTAGGATTTTGCAGATGGGCAAAATCTTTTAAAGCAGGTTTTATTTTATGAAGGTAGAATTCACATTAACATAACATTAACCATTTAAAAGTGTACGATTCAGTTATCATATTCACAATGTCATGCACCCACTACCACTATGTAGTTCTGGGCGTTGTTCTAAATCAATGAGAAGTCATTGGAGGGTTTGAGCAGCATAGTCTGAGCGCTTTTTGCAGTTGCTCATCCCCAGAGGCCCTTGCTGCAGGACAAGGTGTGTTTCCATGAGGAATTTCCCCAGGCCATACCTTCCTTTCCTTTCTCAGAGTAAGGCCTGCTCCCAGAAAACTGTTTCTCTTCGCTTTCAGACTCTTCCCTCTCCGCTTTTCAGAACAAACCAGCTGAGGGTGGGAGAATGGAAGAGAAGCCAGGGGGAGGGAGGAAGATGGGGTTTTTAATTTCCAACTTTGAGTGTCAAAAGGCAATTTCATGCCTGCTGATGTGATTAGAGCAGTGGAAATAATAGAGGTTGGCAACTGATGGGGTGCTGGCTCCGGAGGATTCCTACTTACTGATTTTCTTCCCTAGCAGGGACAAGCATTTCTAGTGGTGTTCAACCTTGCGCTCCCCTCAGGGGGTGCACCTCAGTGCCATGGGGCATGAACCATCTTATTAGCGGAGATTATAATAATTTGCCATAGACCACAGCATCAACTCTCCACCCAGCAGCCTTTGATCTGCTTGCCCCGACTGGGGCTGTATGGGCAGGGCTTGGGTTCCCTCCATATTGTGGAGGTTAAGTGAGCCGCCTGCCCAGCTCCGAATTCCACCTCTACCACTTTCCAGCCATGTGACTTTGGGCAAGTGGTCTCATTTCTCCATATTTGTAGGGACCATGTGAGGGTGACATGAGGTCATATGGGCACCCAGTGGGTGCTATGTCAATGTTGGCTTTCAAAAAAAGAAAAGAAAAGAAAGGCCAAGGAAAGTGCAGGATGGAATGCAAAAGCTACGGGAGCCTTTGAGGCTGGAAATCTGGATGTTGATGTGAAATGAAGAGCTTTTTGTAAACCAGTTGGCAATTAGTTCCAATTTATAGAAGAAATCATTTGTGGCCCAAACAGAACATCCGTGCCAGGCAGGAGCTGGGTCAACCTGGGACCCAGGGCTTCTGACCACCCTCCCAGAATTGTTTCTGCTCCAGCTCTAGAGTCTTCTGTTCTGGATTCTTCTCCTGAGAACACCCTTAACTCTCCAGGTTCTCATGAGCATCCTACAAATGCTGCTCACAGAGTGTCTACTGTGTGCTAAGTGCTTAGTGGAAATAAACTCATCAGAATCCTATGAGGGAAGAAAGTGTCCCATTGTACAGATGAGCAAACGGAGGCTCATCTCCCAGCTGGTGAGTTTCCCTGCAGGGATTTGAACTGAGGTATACCAGACCCCAGGGACCAGAGCCTAATCACCACTGTCTGCTTCCTGCTGGGTGTCTCTGCAGCCTCACGCCTCCCCGTATTACCTTTTAGGCTCCAGGCAGGCTGGTCTGTCCATCCCAGCAGTCAGCCCGACAGACAGAGGAAGCAGGAAGAGCTGACAGATGAGGAGAAGGAAATCATCAACAGAGTGATTGCTCGAGCTGAGAAGATGGAAGAGATGGAACAGGAGCGAATCGGGTGAGATCCCACACTTCCCATCCATCTGGAGAGCCCCTAAGGCCTGAGGGCCAGCAGACTGGTGCTCAGCGGTATGCTGGGGGGGGTGGCAGACTGCCCCGGGGGGTTGCCACTACCCCCCCCCCCAACTGGCAGAGCTGGAATCCTTGTGGCACGAGGTGGGAGAACTCAGGAAAGAGGAGACAGAATGGGCTGGGGACTGGCTTGGGAGGGGGCTTGGTGGCTGGGGGTGCCTTACAGAGGGGGAGCTCTGAGAGGGTAGTGCATTGGAGCCTGGGGGCCCGTGGTTTTAAGCACAGGGCATCTGGGCCGATCTCAGCTGTGTAGAAATATGTTCTAGAGACACTGTAGACCAGAATATACAGCTGAGGGAGAGGTAAGGAGGAGAATGTCTAGGGACAGTATATCAAATAGCACATTTGCAATGAATTTATATGAGAGAATGGCAGAAACGGATCCTGAAAGAGGGAGACAGCATGAGAGGGAGGTGGCAGAGGTTAACCAGGTGGGTCTGGACTCTGAAGAACGGGGGGCTCCACCACAGCTCCCCACTTGCCCGCTATGGGTCCTGGGCATGATGCTTCACCTCTCTGAGCCCCTGTTCGCTCGCTTGTCGAGCAGGGGACATGACAGTCTATCTCACAAGACTGTTGCAAGCAGTAGATGGAGTGAGGCACGTACACTTCCCAGACCCTGGTGACACTTCATTTTCATAAATGGTAAGAAGGGAAAAAGTAGAGTTTGGAGGGCAGAGCTTTTTTGAATGTGTATGAGAGAGAAGCAAGGGATATAAGGAGGCTGTGGACATGTGTGTCAGAGAGTGAAAAAATCAATGAGCGAGGCCAAGGCTAGAGAGGGAGGGGGCAGTATGTGGGTGGTCTTGCAAAGGGAGGAGTGGGCAAAATGGGGGCGACTGTGGGGGTAGGGAGAGAAGGGGGGACCAAGGGAGGGTACGGGTGTATGGGGGGCTCTTGGCACAGGTGGAAAACTGGCTGTCAGATTGCCAGGCCCCCAGAGGGTCCTCCCAGACCAAGATCTCAAATGGACCTCCTCCTCCACAGCCCCCTCCCCAGGCCCTTCTGCCAGGGGTAGCCTTTGCCAATTGCCTACAACTGATGTGGGCACCGAGGCGCCCGTTTATCTCTCCACCCACATACTCAGCCAGGGGCAAACGAGGGTCTTGGATGGAAAGTGGAAGTTGGTGCCTTTGGTCTGAGCCTCTGTAGATCATTTTACTCGGGGTCGATGGGGAGTGCTGCTGACAGACGACAGACACCTGTCACGGCCAGGGTCAGCATCATGCTCCACACCCTCCATCTGCTTACTCCGGAGGTAGCTGAAGGGATAAGTCTCCAGGGGCATGCTTATGGGGTTGCATTCTTATTTTGCTTTTTAAAAGATAAACCAGAGTGGGGAGTTGTCCAGGCAGGAGGTCTGTGTGTGTGTGTGTGTGTGTGTGTGTGTTCACTTCACCCAACAATGGGCCTCAGCCTTTTGAAGTGAGGGATATGGGTAATAAGGGTAAACGCTTAAAAGCAAAACTCCTCTGAGCCTTTTTCTGCCATAGCACTTACCACTGGGTAACATATTTTATATTTTACATAATTAGTTTGACTATTGTATATCTCCCTGCTAGATTGTAAGATTACTGAGGGTAGATATTTTTGGGCCCACTTTGTTCACTAGTAAATTCTTAGAGCCTAGTACATAGTAGGGGTGCAGTAAAATATTTGTTCAATGAGTGAGTGAACGTGGCAGACCATGCGACCCCAAATTTCTTTAGACGTCCCCTGTGGCATAGAGGGTCCCTGTTCCCAGGGAAGGCGCTCTGATTGGCTGGTTTGTGTCAGGGGCTGTCTCTCATCCAATCAGCTGTGCCTGGGGTGCCAACCGTGTTGTACAAACGTGGCAGGCAGGCTGCCTCTGGGGGTAAAGTTATGGAGGTCACTGTGGGCTGAGCAGATTCCAGCTTGAGCCTTCTAGAACAAGATAGATGGGTTCCCTGCCTTGTCCTCCATGTCTTATCATATTGCCCCAGCTAACTTGAGGATGTGGTAGAATAGCACCGTGGTTAATTCCTGGGGCCCCAGAGTCAGAGATACTTCGGTTCAAATTCCAGCTCTACCATGTCCCCTCTGTGTGACCTTAGGTAAGCCACTTTAACCTCTCCATGCCTCAGTTTCCTCGTCTGTAAAATGGGGACAGCATTAGCACCTAACTCTTGGTGTTTAATTAGGGTGCAAAGGGTTATCGTAGTGCCTGGCACAGAGCACACGCTCCATAAAGAGTGGCAGTCCTTTAAAGATGACTTTGCTAAGGAAGCTCAGTTTTTGACATTGGCCAAGGCCTCTATTCTAGAATAATGCCCCGAGACTCCTGTTTGGCAAGCCCTGGAATTCCAGCAGCCCTGGCTTCCCTAAAGGGAATTTGAGAGGCTTCCAGGGAGGCTGGGGCCAAGCCCTTGAAGACAGAGTGTCCCTTCGCTGAGATGGTGTGTCTTCTGGCAGAGTGGGGGAGGACAGCCCTGCGGGATTGTGGCTGTGGCTCTTGCCAGCAGCCAGTGCTTGCTGGTAGCATTCCTGGAGGCAAAGCCAGCGTGATTTGTGTCTTATGATCTCAAACCTGCCCTCATTCCTGTTCTCTCCATGATTCCCTGGGAAAGGATCAGAGTGGAGTCAGAGGAAAGCAAGATGACACATCAGACACGAAGCAAGGCTGAAAACAGGGTGCCATTGGGGCTTCCACTTCAGAACCCAGGGTTCTCAGTCAATGAGCCTTTGGGGCCTCAGTCCCCCTCCCCCCATCTAATGAGGCAGGTCAGGCTGATTCTCAGGGTCCTTCCTGCTCAGACTCTATAGTAGTTGGGTGTGTCTGATGGAGGACCCCGTACCATGCTGTTGGCTGGCCCTCTCAGAGCTAATGAGCTCCTTCTAATGGTTAAAATTGCAGATGTACCTGAGAACCCTTCCAGGTTTACACCAGCTCTGTGATGTGGAATCTTCTTTCCTATTAACTAAGGGAAAGCCATCTGGGACTGGTGGGAGATCATCATTAATAAACATCATAAAAGATCATCATCATACTAGGTACCATTTATTGAGCACTTACTATGTGCCAAGCACTGAATCTAAAACTTCCTGTGGATTAACTCGTTAACTGCTCCTCTCAATCTTGTCGAGTAGGTGCTATTATTGTCCTCCTTTTGCAGGTGAGGAAACAGGCTCAGAGAGGTGATTGGCCCAAGATCACTTGCCCAAGGTCACATAGAGCCAAGATACACATTCCTGTCTGGCTGACCTTCAGAATTTTGCTTTTAATTCTTAGGTGTCTCTCCTGAAGGCTTGGCCCCAAATTCTTAGACTCTGAAGAACATGGAAATCTTAAAAGCTCAGGTGTGGAGGGTGGACACTGTGGGACTGGAAGCTGGAGCCTGTTGGGTGCTGGTCTAGTGGTTTCTTCCAGTTCTTGTTCGCCTCTTGGTACCTCCAAAGCTGCCAGTACTGGTCTGCGTGCTCCCAAGGCTCTGACAGATCTGGGGAAGAATCGCCCTCAGGCCTCCCAGGAGGCGCTCCCTCCCTGGGAGCTAGCCACCCCAGGGAACCCCAGGCAAGCGGCAGACAAGAGCTGCTTCTCTCCCAGAAGCCTCTTTGCTTCTGTCCTGTGGAGTGGGGGGGTGGTGGTGGTGGTGGGGTGTCTAAACCTTGCCTCGCCACTCAGCCCACAACCCAGCTCTGCTCTCTTCAGCATCCCTGGAGGGAGAGATGATGACCAGCAGGGAAACTCATTAAACAGCCTCCTGTTGCCCCCATGTCCCTTACTGAGGTGCTAAGTGGGATAGTGGGGTTTATTTTTCATGCCCTGACTGCTCTTTGCAGGAAAGGGAATGAATTCCAGGGAGATTGCTTGAGTCATCTATTGCTATATAACAACCACCCAAAACTTAGGGACTCAAAGCAACAACAGTTCTGATTTTTCATGATCCTGTGGGTTGAGAATTCGGGCAGGGCTCTGCTGGGTGGGTTTTCTGCTCTATGTGGTGTGGGGTGGGGTCACTCGCTCAGCTGCATTCAGCTGGTGGCTGGGCTGCCCTTCAAGGGTCACGAAAGCTCAGCTCCCATGTCTGTGCTTCAGCGCTCTCTTTGTGGCCCACCCTCTCCGTGGGATCTCTGCTTTTTCAGTAATCTGGCCTGAGCTTTACACAGTGGCCAGATCCCAAGAGAGCAAAGATGGAAGTTGCCAGGATGCTTAGCATCTGGGTCTGGAACTGGCAGGGCATCGCCCCTCCACATCTCTGAGAGGGAAAATAGGTCCCTTCTCCTTATGGAAGAGCGACTTAGACCCCCAGGGAAGGAAGGCATTAATGGCGGCCATCTTTGGAGACTCTACCACCTTATGCAAAAAGGCGAGTTTAATATAAGGATGGGGAGATATCTCAAGGGACCCAAGGGCAGGAACACAGCCTGGCCTCAGGAAAGCTTTTCTTCACATCTGACATGTTAGAAAATATGCCTGTGCCATACCTGCTGGATTTTATAGCTCTTCTTAGTCCTAATTCCAGATTCCTAGGGAAGGAAATCCGATTGGGCCAGCTCACCCTGAGCACCCACCTCATCCAGTCAGCTGTGGCCAGGGCTGCCAGACCACACCAGTGTGGCTGCCGAGTGTGAGAAGGACTTTTGTGAGTTGGACAGACACCCGTAGGGTGTCCACTGGACTTTTTTTTTTTTTTAAAGATTTATTTATTTATTTGAGAGAGCGAGAATGAGAGAGAGAGAGTACATGAGAGGGGGGAGGGTTAGAGGGAGAAGCAGGCTCCTCGCCGAGCAGGGAGCCCGATGCGGGACTCGATCCAGGGACTCCAGGATCATGACCTGAGCCGAAGGCAGTCGCTTAACCAACTGAGCCACCCAGGCGCCCCGGTTTTTTTTTTTTTTATTCTTATGTTAATCCCCATACATTGCATCATTAGTTTTAGATGTAGTATTCCATGATTCATTGTT